CAGAGGTGAGACCCTGTCTCTAAAAATTTTTAACTAAAAAAAAAAGAAGCTATTCATCCTCTAACCTCCCTGTCCCCTAAGTAAAATCCTCTGTGATGACACGAGGCGTCAAGCACACAGAGCCACCACAGCTGCCACTGTGCACACGGCCTGTCAGTCCAGTGCCCTCCACCATTCCTCTTCCCTGTGGAACCGCCACAAAAACACTTTGCAAAGGGAAGTCCCACTAGGGGGTGTGGGTTTTATCTGTGGCTGGGAAGTAGGGTGCCTAGGGACACAGCCACTCTTCCCACCTGAGAGAAAGAGAGGCATTACCCACACCCAGGCTGCTTGTTGGGAGGCCCCAGGCAGATGGGACAAAGACCAGGGAGGAGCCAGGTGATGACAGGGAGGCAGGGACAGCAGAGGGCAGGATGGGGTGACAAGAGGGGTCTCCCAACCTGCCCACGTCGGTGCCAGGGAGAGGAAAGAGCTGGGCGGAGGCTTGGCCCACCAGTGCTGGGCCGGGGCCCACAGCACTCCAACACCCATACCCAGGAGTCTGCTGCCCAGGGCAGAAACAGCTCCACTCCCACGAGTTCTGAGAGCGCAAGGTCTTGTCCAGCAGGCAGCAAAAGCCTGCCATCTTCAACACAACAGCATACCTGCCAACTCAGGACACACCCAGGGGGCCAGCCAGGGTCTCCGGGGAAGGGGCCTTGCCAGCCACACACCAGCTCCCCACCATGCAGGAGACCCTGACCAGAGCCCAGGCTGCTGGCATGGGTCCAACCAGGGCTATGCACACAGAAGGGGTGATTCAAGCCCTCCCAGGCAATGACAGGGACTGAGGTGTCATGTGCCACTTCACCCTTGGGAGTCCCCTTCACGGGCTAGGAGTTTGGCACCACCTTCAGTTTTGGGTGCTGTCCTCTGAGAGTCCAAGTTTTCATCTCAGCCACAGCAGAGAAACCTTTAGGACTGACTTCTAGAAAAGACAGTGGTGGCAGGTCCTGAAGGCAGGTAACAGGAGAGTCAGGTCACAAAAGCATGGGGTCTGGGTAACTGCTGACCACTCCTGCAGTGGCTCTGGGACCCTGGGCAGTGCCAGGGACCCTGCTGCCTCCAGTCCCTTCTCACTGAGACCTAGTGTTTCCTGCTGGAAGGCGGCTGGCCACCCTGGAGGCGACAGCAGGTGTGTAAGCTGCTGGTCACATCTCAGAAAGCCCCTTGGGGGCACCCGGCCTGCCTGACGTCTCCCACTCATCACAAAAGCGCAGCAGAGCACAGGGGCCGCTCACAGGAACTCCTGGGGCTTTATACGCCACAGCAGGCCTTGTTTTGTCTTTTCAGACTGATTTTCTTATTCTCCAAAGCGCCAGCATTTTGAAGTTTCTCTTATGGGAAGGGGGACAGGAATGGGGTGGAAAGGAGTGTAAACAAAGCTCCCACTGGAGGCAACCAGCAAAGTGGCCTCGGCTGTCCCCTCGCCCAGTCCATGAGTCCAGGACAGAGGTCAAGGCCAGGCCCCTCTGGCCGGATCACCAGGCAAGATTCCAAAACAAGAAAACTCCTGGGACAAGAAACAATCATGTCTGCAGCAGAGATACGGCACTATGGCCCTACGGCCATGGTAATCGTGAGCACCAAGAGAAGTGAATTTACAGAAATATCTCGAAACAAAGATATGCATACAGTTAGCAGTCTGCTGACCATTAGCAGACGGTAACAGAGGCACGCACGCGCACACACATACACGCACGCACGCGCACACATACCCTTCAAGTCTCATACAACCTAACAGCCTTCACTATTTGACAAAACAGAATCACGAACATTAATTCAGCAAAGGGGAGAGGTAGGCCAAAGGAGCAATAGGCCAATTTTATATCCCACAGAGCTAAAAAAAAAAAAAAAAATTACTCCCCAGCAGGGGGTGAGGAGAAAACCATTGTTTTAGGAGGGAGATCTTGGCTTGCTTGGCCAACCACCGCGGTCACGTGCGTGTTTTACAAAGGCACAGGAGTCGGGAAGGGCTGGGCTCACGGCCCTCCGTGAGGCCCTCGCAGCTAGCAACCTTCAGTTTGTTTCCTTTTTTCCTTCTGACCTTAGTGGAATTCTTACCACGGTGGCCTTTGCCTTTGGAAAGGTGACTCCATTTTTATCCTGGGGGGTAAAGAATGGATGCTATTACCATTCCCAGTGGAAATGCCGAGGACTGGCCCAGCCTCGTCTGGGGATCCGGAAAGCCTGTAAATATGTTCCGGGGTGGCGGAGGGTGCCCCAGGCTGCTCTAGTGGGGGGCTGCAGCACAGACAGGGGAGCAGGCTGCTGGTCGGTGACCTACAGCAGAGGTGGTGGCATGTCCAGAGACAGGGAGACCGCCATCTCTGTCCGCCATCAACTGAGGCTGAGGCGGAGCTGGCTGCCCCTCAGAGCCCCAGTCCTGCGGCCTCCAGGAGCCAGAGAGTGCCTCTGACTTATCTAAGCCTCAGGGGCTGCCTGTGGCCCTCCCCACACGCTCCCAGCTCACTCCAAAGCCCTCCCCAGACCTGTGGGCATGGGTGGGGGAGGTGGCAGGGAGGGCAGAGGTGGAATGGAAGCCTGTTGGCTGCTCCAAACTTTGCTGCAGGCCTTACAACTCGTTCTTCCATGAGGAGGGACCGGTGGCTGGGCTTCCTGAGTGATAGGGGCCCCTGCCCAGCAGCTGCGTGTAGAGGCAGCCAGCGGCAAGGGAGAGCTGAGACCGTGGCCCTCCTGCTGCCCACGCCAACGCCTGGACCAGATCTGAGCAGGCTCTGGCTCTTTATTGTCCGTTCTGGGGGACACACAGTGGCAGCTCTGAGGGCCGACCCTCAGACCTCTGACGTTCAGATGCTTCCTCCAATCACAAGACGGGATAGACTTTGAGTGTGGTGACATCTTTGGTCTGAGAAGCGTCCTGGTTTGGGGCTCCCAGTGGGACATCAGACAAGAGGTGGCAGCTGACAGGCAGGAACGTGGAGTGTGACCTCTGAATGCCAGAGCTGAAGGGTTAACCGCTCCCACTGGACACTCCTGGCTTGTCTGTGCCGCAGCTCGGAAGCAAGTGGAGAATAATGGCAGAAGGGCTGTGGCGGTGAGGTGACACCCGAGAGGGCCCTGGGCGAGTCCCTGTGGATCCTGCAATGCCAGGTGGAACAGTCACAGGACAGATGAAACACCATCGGGAGGGTTTCCAAGCCAGAGCAGCAGCTGTGCGTTGCGTGTGCTTCCGCTCCCGTCCTGCGTGCATCCACACCCACCGTCTCGCCCGTATCCTGGGGGTCTCTGGAGAAGGCACTTCGCCCCAGCAGCCTGAACACAGCCCAAATCCGTCCAAAGGGCCAGGCGCTGCCAGAGCGGGGAGAAAGAAAGACGCCTTTCAACTGCCCTGGGCAGGCTGGGGCTCCGGCCAGAGGAGCAGAGTGGATGGGCCGCGGCACAGGGACAAATCCATACGTCTCAGACAGGAGCAGGCTTTGTCTCCCTCAACCCCTCACTGGCACCGGACCCTGACAGGCCACCAGCAGGACAGGACAAGTACAGCCGGCACTGACTTCCCTTTTGTCTGGGCTGCCCAAGGGCAGGGAGGTTGGTGACTGAGGTCACTGAGTGAGAGTTCACAGCAAGGGGTTCCCGAAGATGGGCTATTGCTGTCGGCAGGCCCCGAACCTGCTTCAGACCTGAGCATGACATTCTCACCCGAGCGGGGCGGGCAAAGGTGAAAGGAGGCCCTGCTGCTGAGTGTCAGGAAGGGCTGGGGGCGCAGGCTCCTCTCCACGGGCAGAAAGGGTCTCCATGGCATCTCATGTGGCCACATGCCAGCTAAGTGGTTAAGACTCTCCTGATCTCTTGCCGATTCTGGTGACAGCCTCTGACGCCTGCTCCGGCAGCTGGGACGGGTCTGTCAGGATGGAGGTGGTGGTGCTCAGCTGCCGGAGGGTGTTCAGCACCACTGCAAGACAGAGTGGGGGAGTGAGACACCCTCGTGGACACAGATCCACGACACACAGTGTGTCTGGTTGCATACCCACAGCCCTATGTGGCAATTCTCGGGCACCAGTGGCAGCCACAGGCTGAACTAGAAGAAAGAACACCCACCAGGAAGGCCCATGCTGCAGCCTGGGCACTCATGCCTCTGCCTCCAGCTAATGTCCCACGTCCCAGCAGGAGCTATACATAGGTGGAGGAGTCTAAGCTGTTCCTGCTGCCACGGGGTTTGCTCTGGCTGATTTACTATTAAGCTCCTCTAACCTGAGTATGTAGGATTAGCTTTGCTGGTTATTACAAGAATTAAACAAGGAAACACACCTGAAAGCACCTGATACAGGGCCTAGCAAGTAGTAGGCGCTTAAGAAACGTAAGGTGGCTTTGTTGGAACAGACATGCTGCTGGTAAGGGGCCTGGAGACCTGCTCCCTGCCCTGTAGTGCGTCCCTGGTGTCATGCTCACGCACCCAGCATTGCCTGGCTGCTGGCAGTAGAGTCTGGACTTTCTCAAGCACGACCTCCAGCCCAGGGCCTTCCTCCTCCCTCCAGGACCAGCACGAAGCCCACGGCCCCGGCGCCACCCCACTCACTTGGCCTGAGGACGGGCAGGGAGCAGCGCTGGTCCAGCCAGGACAGTGCCGTGCGGTGCAGCTCTTCCAGGCTGCTGGTGGACACCATCCCCTTAAATGACTCGAACAGTGGCTTTATGATGATGCTGAACTGCAGCACTTGGGTTAAAGGAAAGGCAGGTATGGAGGGCACCAGGGGACCCCAGAACTGAGGTGGGCCAGGTTTCCTATTGATTTCCCTGGGAACTGACAAACAGTCTTCCACTGTTTGTGGAATTGATAATAGGGGGACAGAGTAAGAGAGAAGACCTCCAGGCACAGTGCATCCTCCACTTGACTAAAACCTTTGCATTTAACCATCGCTGGACAGCAGCGTGTGACCGACCACTGGGCAGGCAGGGGCAGGGACACGGAAGTTCCTTAGTCTGGAACACGTCCCAGCACCATGATGCAAACACAATGGTTTAATGCATGTCAGCAAGAGGAGGCACGAACAGATCAAAGGGAGAAGCTGTCTGAGTGCCGTGTGCCCTCTGTGCTGAGCGTGAACACGCCATCTCCCCGCAGCTGTGCAGGTCTCCAGGCCCATCTTAGGAAACAAGCTCGGGGAGGCACGAGATGTGTTTTCCTGGGTTTTGGTCCAGGTGATGCCCACAGTGCGCTCCTCTGCCTGATGGTGAGGAATCATCGCTTTACCAAAGCAGCTCTGACCCATTCCAGATGCCACCCGGCCTGCTAACGACAGGATCAGGACCAGGGCAATAGTGAACAGCAAAGCAAAGCAGGGAACTAGAGCTGGTGCCTGTCATCTCTTCATTTGAAAGTCGCCCCTGAGAGCACACAGGCACCCTGCCCTGTCCCACTGCCACGGCTGGGATCCTCTCCCCTGTGTGACTGTCTCTGTCACACCCACATCCCATGCTGCAGCCAACCCGCCACGCATGCTGTTCACTCAGGCAGAACGGAGGTGGGCGGGGAGCGGGCGGGCAGGAGGCACCCCGTACACTGCCGTGCTGCCACCCAGAGGGCCCACTCAGGTGAACACACTTCGTTACGGCATTCCAGGCCACATGGCATAAATGCAAAGAGTCTGAAGAAGTGGGTTCAAATCCCAGCTCTGCCACCGCCACTCAGTGTTTCTGTAAGTCCCAGCTACCATCTGTCACAGTGGGGGTGGCCCTCACCCTCCCTGTCACTATGTGGACTGAGCCGGCTACTGGGCTACAGCAGATCCCACTCCGTTCCCCTGTGTAGCTCGTGCAAGTGGCTCTAGCATTGTCCGTATTTCCCAAGAACCCAGAGAGCAAAGCCCACGGTTCTGCCTCCTCAGCCCTCCCTGCAAAGCACCTTGAAGCCCCAGCCCTCGCTGCCCCAGGAAAGACCACTCTCTCCTGAGACAGATGCTAGCACTTTCTGTTGTGACAAACTCAGTGACAGCCATTTAAAGAAAATCTTCCTGAAGGAGCTGGAACGTCACCATCTGTTGTCTCCATGTATTGGTTGGGGATAGAAAGAGCAAAGAAACTCAAAAGATACAATCCAGAACTTCCAATTCTGCAGGATCCGGCTTTTCACGTATTCATCAAACATGTCTCTCATGTGATCAAACTGGTGCCGGGTGACGGGGACTCCTGTGGCAGGGAGCAGCTGCTGGCAGGAGCTGAAACAACAGGAGGAATCAAGGGAAGCTTTGGAGAGCCGGTGGCAGATCAGGATCCCCAGACACAAGCTGGCAGGGCTGACCCAGTGTGGGACCACAGCCAGGAAGAAGTAGAGAGGTCTGGAAGGAAGGAGCAGGATGACAGAAAGCTACACTCTGCGACAAAGAGGCTTCTGTCAATGACAAGGCCACAGGGTTCTCCTGCCTCGGTAACATGGGACTGTGTGGGACGTGGCACCCGCCTGGAGCCTCACATGATGGTGGCGTTGAGCTCCTCGATCTCCTCCCGCAGCCGCCGGGCCTCCTCCTGCATCTGGCCGCGCTCCTGCTGCAGCTTGGTGATGTACTCCACCGTCTTCTGCAGCGTGATGGCGTGGCTGCTCTGCAGGAGAACAGGTGGCTGGAGGTGGCAGCGACAGGGCCAGTGGGCACCCCCCAGGCGCCGCCCAATGCCCTTGCCCCACCTGGCCCGGCACCTGCAGGCCACCCACCAGCTTGGAGCTGTTGGAGATCAAACTGTTCAGAGTGTCGAAGCCCATCTTGATGTTGAAGCGCCTTTTCTGTTCGGCTGAAATGTGCTTCATCTGCCGGTTCTGTTGGGGAACCGACTGGTCACTGAGACACATGGGCATTGCCGTGGGGTCACGTCACCTGTCCCTCCTCATCTCCCAAGCTGATGCTGAGTGGATGGGGGCAGATTAGGACCCTGAGGCACCTGACAGGCCAGGGACAGAGAGCGACGTGGGAGGAAGGGGCAGTGAAAAGCTACTGGCTCCAGTGAGGAGCAGGAAGAGGACAGGGCAGGGAACACTAAAAAGTCATCATTGCAGAAGAGAACACAGCCAAGGCTGGGGACGGCTGGCTGTCAATGCAGCACTTCCCAGCCAGCCTTAACCTCACCTCTGCCAACCCCACCCTCCCAGCTGCCACCTCCCCCTACAAGTGATGGGCGCAGAGCTGTACCCACCACATGAGGAGGACTCAGTGCTGGCTCCTGGGCTTGGGGCCCACCCCGCCCACAGGGCTGCTTAGTGGGAAGGGGCAGGGAGGAGCCCATTTAACCCCAAGGTTAAAGCAGCAGACCAAGGACTTCCGACAAGACCCAGCCTGGAGCACCACTGGCCAGATCTGTGATTCTGTTTTCCAGATACGTGCTCCCCAAAGATTCCCTGATGTTCCCCCCGCCCTCCTCCACCTTCCATGGAAATTGAGGCCCAAGAGAAACACCTGATACCTTTAGTGCAGCCATGTTTTTGGGGTCTGCAGATTTCCCTGAGCAGTTGTTCTGGGGAGACTGAGGACTGGGGCTCTGTTCTGACGCACACGGAGAGGCCTGCCCTGAGTTGGGGCAGTCCCGGCCTGAGAACAGAGACAGCCTGAGAAGGGGACTTGGAAAAGCAGCAGCAGGGCCACCCCACCCCACCTGGAGGCAGTCCTTCCAGATGAAGGAACCCCCAGCAAGTCCCAAGACTTGGAAAGCCATCGGTAACCTCCCATAGCCACTCCAGAACAAACACTAGAGAAATCTTTGCCAACCACACTGGCACCAAGATCAGGCTGGGTGGCTTATGTGGCCACAGCAACCCCCATGCTAATGATTCCTGGAAATGGAACACAAGAACTGTTCAATGCCTTCTCTGGGGACTGGCAGCACTGAGCCAGGACTTTCTGTGAGGTCAGGAGTGGCCTCCCTGCACACCCGGGCTGCCTACGCGGCCATGCGCCTGCTACTTCTCGTGGCACCGTGCTGCCGGGTCATCCTGCCATCTACCGGGTATTTTCCCAGCCTCTGCCATCAGCAGGCCTACAAGACCTCGTCATGTGTCCTGCAGGCCCTAGCTCCATCCTGGGGAGCCCTGTGAGTGGCCTCCCCAACCCATGGCGGCCCACTCATTTTCCCCATGATGTCATGATCATTCTGTCCTCCATGAACACTCACTGGGCCCTGAGACAGGGACCTGCTCGCTTTTCACCAGGGAGTCTTGCACTGTGCTTGGAGAGAAGAGCCGGGAGACGGGGCCAGGCTGGCTGCTCGTGCTATGGCCGAGGTCTGCCACCAGGATGCTGCTGTGGAACTCCGTCACTCCAGGAGCCTGTGATGACACGGGAGAGAGGTCGTCCTCAACCACAGATAAGAAACAGCAGAGCAGAAGACCAGCTACATTGGAGGAAGGTGGCTTTGGGGTGACAAGGACACCGCAAGTCCACCCAGGGCCCTCCTCACCCTGGTGATGGCAGCAGGTGCGATGACCACGTTGGACTGGGACACAGTAGAAGCCAGCATCCCTTCTCTCTTCAGAGGGCCTGATGTCATGATCACTGCTTGTGGCTGGCCTGAGAAGGCAGCTGCCGGAACACAGAGAAGGTGAGGCTGAGGCCCTGGACCACAGTCTGGTCTCAGCCCCGCAGAGGCCGTGGCTATTAATGAACGGGGCTGGCCACGCCACAGACGCAGAGACATCTGCATCTCTGCCTCTTTGCCAAGAGACATCTTGGTCCTTGCTAAGGGGACAAAAAACAAAACCCCGGAATACCTAACACTATTTTTGCAACTTCTTGAGGAATACAGAACATGGACCAGGACCATGTGTTCTCAAACTGTGATTTGAGATCAATTTTTAAAAAAGATATAGAATAGAAAATAGACTAGATCATACAAATACATTATTTCTCGATACTTGTTTCATCTCGTGTGTGCGTCTGTATGTGTGGCCAGGAGGGGATGGGTGTCACAAGTTTAACCACTTCGGTACCAGCATTGACTACAGTTGATAGCCACAGATGAACGCGCACGGCTACTTTAGCCGACAGCTGTGATATGCCTTTTCTAATTTTTCATTTATCAAAATAAAATTGTGAACATTTAAAAATAACATAATGGGCCGGGCGCGGTAGCTCACGCCTGTAATCCTAGCACTCTGGGAGGCCGAGGCAGGAGGATTGCTCAAGGTCAGGAGCTCGAAACCAGCCTGAGCAAGAACGAGAGACCCTGTCTCTAATATAAATAGAAACAAATTAATTGGCCAACTAATATATATAGAAAAAATTAGCCGGGCACAGTGGCACATGCCTGTAGTCCCAGCTACTCGGGAGGCTGAGACAGCAGGATTGTTTGAGCCCAGGAGTTTGAGGTTGCTGTGAGCTAGGCTGATGCCATGGCACTTACTCTAGTCTGGGCAATAAAGCGAGACTGTCTCTAATAAAAAAATAAATAAAAATAACATAATGAAAACACATATGTATATGTTACCTATTCTGATTTACATTACAAGTAAAGCTGCCTGTAAAGTAAAACAAGCTTTCAGTGCTTTAAAGCTTTCCTCATCACACAAGAGCAAAATGGATTTGTCATCAACGCACAGCACAGACTATCATGCAGACTATGAGTGCCGGCAGCGGGCAAGGTGTCGCGGCCAGTGAGTGGGGTCCTGAAGTGGTTAAAGGCTTCTGGGACAGGGAATATTTCTCCATGGGGCGGGGGAGCCCAGGCTGGCCCCTCTCCCTGACTCACCTGGGGCGAGGCAAGCGTTCTTCAACACCAAGGACACAGGCTCTGGTTTGGGAGCAGGCACTATTTTGGGGGGCTGCTTGGGCCTGCCTCCAGTCACTGATACAGGTTTGGGGGGCACAAAAGTTAACCGAGGCTGGGGAGGCCCAACAGCCGGAGGCCGGGTGACAGAAGACAGCGCCAGGCCGCAGGGGGCCGTGGATGGGGCAGGGTGATGGGTCGTGATCACAAGGCCCTGACTCTGGCTGAAGGTGGCAGAGGCGTCATGGGTGAGGGTGGCAGAAGCTGTGTGGGTGATGACAGAGGGTGACTTGCTCAATCCAGCAAACTTCTGTGGCTGAAGGAACGAAGGTGGAGCCGGGGTGCTCAGGGCAGTGGCAGGAGGAGGAACCAATGGCAGCGCTGGGGACACAGGTGGCGGGGCAGGGCTGGGGGACAGCAGGGGCATGGTGAAAACTGGGAGGAAGGGCTGTAGGACATTCAGTGGCGGCTCTGAGGGGCTGAAGTCCGTGGGCTGGATAAAGGGGTCCCCGGTCTGGGAAGTGCGTTCACAGGCCTGCCCGTCAGCAGGGTCCAGGGAGGGGGCCGTGGGGGGCACGATGAGGCTGTCGGGGAGGCTCACGGTGGGGAGCGTGGTGGTCGGCAGGATGCTCTCCTGAGAAAGGAAAAGAGAAGCCAGGAAGCCACACTGGGCTGAGACGATTCACTTTCACTGTCTAGCACCATACACTGCAAAGCCCAGCGACCCTGGACAGAGAGACAAAGGTGATGTCTCTCATGCCTATTACTGGTGATCGGGGGAATGGATCTGCATCTCCCTGGGCATCTGTGGGAGTTTTGTTTCCATTAGGAACTAAACGATAACACAGAGCTCAGACAAAGCAGCTGCCTCCACACAGCTGGACAGCAGCCTGGGAATATCTTGTTTCTAGAGCCCGGCAGAGGTCCCCCTCAAAGTCTCTGCCATCTTCTGTTACAGGGCAGAGGCAGCCTGGATTGCAGCTGCTCGGGGTTCCCCCAGGGCAGTTTCACATATCACCTTCTAGCCAGGCCTCCTCTTCCCGAATGGGAAAAGCTATAAGCAATCAATTGTCCAGATCTCAGTCTCCATAGAAGAAATTCTTCCCAGAGCCAGTTTGAAGAAGACGGTGCCAGGTTACCGGTATCTAACTGGATATGGGCACCTGTCTGAGAGCTTCACAGGGGTGAAGAACTATGCCCTGTTCAGCTCTGTGGCCCTAGCATCTATACCTGTAACCAACTTTTTTGTAAAGTAAAAAGTGAAAGAACTATACAGAACTTATTTTTATTAATGGTCCATGTTTTTCTTCTTTGTTTAGCTAATCCTGTCTTAACTGATCAGAACAGAGCCAGCTGTGCATAGGTGGCCTGGAGCCTCAGGTAGGAACACCTGCCTCCTAGCAGCGTCCTGCCTCATGGATGTCTCAGGATGCTTTTGGAGAGGGCTGAGCTAGTGTCTCTGCACGTTACCTGTGGTGCCCAGTGCTCTCTAGCGATGCCCAGCATTTTGCATATGACGCACGGTCACACAGCCAGCCTTGCTCTGACCGTAGGGTTTTGATGGCCAGCCCTGTGCCTGCTGGTACCCTCCCCCCACCCCTCCCCCAGTGTCCTCTACCTGTGCAGGTGGGCTGCTGGGATCTGGTGCGGATACTGAGGCAGGTGCAGGCAGCATGGAGTTAAAAATGGAGCGGCTGGAAGAGAAGAGGTCTGAAAAACAGTATCAGAGGTCTTTGGAGTGCCACATGCCCAGGAATTAAGACCCAAACAAATTGAGCACTGAACCCCACATCAGCCAAAGGGATGCCATGGCCAAAGGCATTCCCCGCAGAGATAACTTTTTCCTGTGGCAAGAGGCCCTCTGATTGGAAGCACACATGAAGGCAGCAAGCCTGGGCTCTGAAACACTCTCACCCCGGTCTCAGCTGCTCTTGCAAGGCAGGGCCCAAGGACCCACCACCTGCAGTAACCTGTGTGGGAGGTGGCTGTGCCGCAGCGCCCTCTGCTGCTGAGAGGGAGAACCGCTCACATTCACAGAAAGCCCAAGGCTCCAAGCCGGTGAGAACCCCCCCTGAGAACGCCAATTCCTTCCAGAACAACGTCCCACAAAAACTTCCCAGACCTTGCAGTTATTACAAAAAAAAAAAAATTTAGTTTTTGAAAAATTCTAAGTCCTCTCCCTTGCCCATTCTAACTTCTCTCTCTGCTCTGTGCGGCAAAGGGAGACACACACGCTCGCTCTGCCACTTGTCCTCACCCTGGAAAGGCTCGAAAGTATCCATGAAGTCCAGGTTGGGCTGCAAAGGAATGAGCCCCGGCTGGATCATGTCTGCATTTCCCAGATGTGCTGCAAGAACCAGAGAGACAGAGCGATCATTTTGCTTTCTTAGACAACGTTGCAGGAACATATTATATAAAAGGCCTAGAACAGATCTTCTGGGCCTTGCTCACATTCTAGAGTCTTCCAAGGAGAAGAACTGTAGGCAGCTGGCTGGGAATCTACCTTCTTACTGGTTCATGGCCATTCTGTACCCTCAGAAGGCAGGAAAGAAAATGATTTTTACAAGAAAGGTAAATTGAGTATCAGGAAACGGACACAGCTAGGAAGCTGGGACTAGCTGGGCCGAGATATCTCCCGCCCCCTGCACTACTCTGTGATCTGCCGGCTCGTCCCTTAGGGGCCAACCAAAAACTGAATGCTGTCAGGTGAGAGGTCATGCCTACGGGTGCTTCTTCAGAGAAAATCAGGGCCCTGCCACCTAGGCTTAGGCACTTGTCTCCACTAAGGGGACGACGGTATCAGAAATATGAAATTGATTCAGACCAGACCTCACTGCTGTTTTGTCACAGTGGTACCGAGGGAATGGCAGAGGCCTCAGTGAAGATCAGTCAATCTGCAGCCCAACCCTACTCAATGCATGTGGCCTCAGATGCCACAGAAGGCTAGTCAATCCTCCTTACTTACTCGGTCTGCACAGTGACAGTAGCAGCTGTCACTGCAGCAGCTCGGAGATGGCCCTGAGGTAAAGCCTGGCCCGGAGGGGGTCTGGCAGAGAAGGCAGCCGGCTGGGTGTTTCAAGTCCCACAACCCAAGCGTGCCTTACCTATTTCCCGTGGGTTGGGCCAGGCCACAGGCTGGTGAGAAGAGAGTGTGGAGAAGAGGGTGTCGCTGAATTCTGACATGAGCATGTCTGTGTCCAGCAGGGCGTCCTCCTCCATGGGGACTGGGGTCTTCCACCCGTCCCCATGCTTGTCCCAATACAGCATGTCGTCATCCTACCACCAATACAGTGGGGGGAGGGAGAGTCAAAGGGCAACAGTGAACTCAGAATTCCAGGGCCTGTCCTGCTAGGAAACACGGCACAAGGACTGCTCTGTGGGAATGAGGTGACAGACGCAGAATGTGGGAAGCAGCTCCCTCCCGCCCACCCCGTAAGAGCGAGACTGTCTCCCCAGCCATGCACAGAACCTTAGGGGGAGAAGGGAGCTGACCTGTCTCTAGCCTAGGGGGAGAAGGGGTGTGTCCTGCCACCTCCTGTTGCAGTGCTCACTGCTGAGCCACCAGGACTCTCGGGGAGGTTCTCATGATTCCCAAGCTCACTCACCTGGGCCAGGCTGGAGAGGTCCTCATCCTTGTGCTGCTGTAGCTGTGGGAAAAGGGGGCCAGGTTGGGTTAGTCACCCAGGCCCTGGGAGGGGATATGGCCCCAGCCTCACCTCCCTGGGAGGAAGGGAAGGATCCCGCTCCCTGCCATCCGAGGTCTGATGCCGGCACAAAGGAGACTCCCACCTGGTATGTGTGGAATCAACAGCCCAGTTCACTGATGGGAAAAATGACAGCAAAGACGATATGACCAAACAGGCGACCGCCTGGGCTGGGCTAAAAGTCCAGGTCCTGGCTTTCCTACTCCACGCCACAAGCCCACATGGGGTGGCAGGCGCCCACAGCCTCACGCCTGTGTTCTGAATCCTGATTCTGCTCCTTCCCTCCCCCGGGGGCCTTCTCGAACACGCTGAGCCCTCGGATACCCTTTTCTTGAAGTAGGTCCTCCACTTGTGATATTCCCTGATCACGATCTCAATGCGGCTTTTCCAGTACTTCCCTTCCGTGGTGATAGCCTGTAACAGAGACACAGTCAGGATCAAAAGAGATGTCTTTGCTCAATTAGCAAGACTCACCCATGACCAAAGAAGTAAGTGACAGGAGAACCAAGTCTCAAGCAACCCCAGTCAGGAACCATCCTGCGGCTCCACCTTCACTCACAAAGTGCGCCCCATCTTCTCTGTGCCACAACCGGCCTCTAGCTAAAAATGCACTTTCCAGACCTAAGGTAGCGAAGGGGCCTTCAGGTCCTGAGGCTCCACACAGGAGCACTGGCTCCCTGGGAAAAGCAGAGAGCCGCCACTTTCAAAGGGTAAAAACAAAGAGCCAATGACAGGAAGGTTCGGGTGGAACGTGACCTCCGAGAGCATTAATTCAACCTTCCCATGACCCACGACAGCCTTGAAGAGCGCTAGGGACCAGGAAGCCACCTGCCTGACAGCTACCTCACTGTCAGATCTTATGGCTCATGTCATTTTACCTCCAAATATTTCACTGTGTGTCCTGAACAGTGAAGGATCTTAAAAACAAAAACAGGATTACAATATTATCATACCCAACAAAATGATATTCCTTGATATTATCTTAATATCAGATCATGGCCGACCATCTCAAAACTGTCTTTCTTTAGGTTATTTTCTGGTTTCTCTCTTTTTCAGTGTAACATTAGAACAAGCTTTGACAAAATTGAAACAATGCAGAAGAGTATCAACTGAAGACAGTCTTCCTTTCTCATCTGGTGCCCTACTCCAATCCCACCATCAAATGATTTCTGTATATCCTTCTAGACATTTCCCATGCATACATAATCACACAGACACATGCTTTTAAAATTAACATAAAGATACTAAGAAGACTGCTGTGCCACTGGCTTTTTTTCATTTATTCTTTTTTCTTGAGACACAGTCTTGCTCTGTCACTCCAGCTAGAGTGCCGTGGCCTCATCATAGCTCACTGCGACCTCAAACTCCTGGGCTCAAGTGATCCTCCTGCCTCAGCCTCCCGAGTAGCTGGGACTACAAGCATGTGCTACCATGCCCGGCTAATTTAGAAACACCAATTTTAAGTGAAAGTGGAGGGTAAGTCTCCATTATTGAATCCCTCGGTCCTTGGGCCAGCCCATCTGAAAAGGGGAACCTGTAAAGCCTGGGGGCTGTTAGAAGCCACCTGCCCCCATGCCGCCCTTTCTCCAGGCTGTCCTATCAGGACCACGCAGGCCCCCACTGCCTCCGCAGTCTCCCTGCAGGATCCGGCCCTCCCTCGGTGAGCTGTTCCTGTTGCAATGAGGGCAGTTTTCCTTCTCAGCCACCCTTGAATCACCTGCAAAATACCTCTGGCCGGCGGTGCTCATCCACGCTCAACAGAGCCATCCAGGGGAGTGACAAAGTGACACACGGGGTTCTTGCGCTTTTCCAGATCTGGGTAGGGAGAGGGTGAGATGTCATCACTAGGATCCAGACCCCCGAAGGAGCCCTTGCTCTGTCTGTCCATGCCCCAGCGGGGGACCTCCCAAGGACTCTTTCTCTGCTTCCCTTGGAAAACGGAGATTTCCAGGGAAATAAAGGAGTCCAGGTTAAAGGCAAAGAATATGTCAGCAATCGCACGAGCAAGAAGGGAACCTAGTTCAAGAGGAAGGCTAGCCCAGCACAGCACGCCCCAGCCCCTCTCTCCTGGAGGAATCCCTGGGGGCCACCAGCACCCATGCTGGAGCCAGGACAAGGCTGCACTTGGTCTCTTCAGACCTGCTGCCAACTCTCCAGAGTCCTTCTCTGCTCTACACCCTTCCTGACTCCCCTTTCCAACTCCAGCCCAGTCGTCCTAAGATGACACTGAGCACATACACTGTGAGCAACTGTCTCACATGTCAGTCCCCTGCAGACCCTGGCAGCTTCTCAGCAGAGGCCACTTTATTGGCCCACTGGGCCAGGAGGCTGGTAGTATCCAGTTCCCTAGGGTCGGCTTGGGTTTCCTAGCCCCACAGCCTGCATAGAGACCTCTGCTAGAAACACGGGTCCCAGAGCAAGGCTCTGGCCCGCAGTCCCATCCTGCTCCTGGTACTTACACTGCATGTACCACCCCCGCCAGATGGCGTTGTTGAGCCGGATCTTGTCTCTCCACTGGAGCTTCAGGCCCTTGAAATTCTTCCACTTTGGAGACACTAACTTCCCACTGAAAGACAAGACAAAGCGGGAGACTCAGTGGTGCCTCTGAAAATGAGGTGAAATGACAACGTGCGCCAATCATTCCAGACCCAACCACTCCTGACTGACCCATCACTAGCCACGGGCTAGGTTGGTAGAATGCAGAAGTCACCCTGGGATGGCATCAGAGCGACGTGGCAGTGACCAGTGTCAGGTTATGGAGGAAACAGGCTCGCCACCAGGGTCCAATTGCTGGAGTGGAGATGATACGTGGGGTTCACTGTACTCTTCGGTCTACTTTTGCATACCTTTAAAACTTTCCATAATGAAAAATTAAAAAGAAACCTGCTGACCACCTAATGAAGATCTGACCCAGGCCTGCCCCCTTTGCCACCAGATTCCAAGAGGCCCTCCCAATCCAGACACACGTCCGCTAGCCTGAGCGCCTCGCTGGGACCTCCTGGTCGAGAGCCTTGAAACTGTGGTGTCCACTCCTGATGGCACCCCGTCCACCTGGCCACCAGCTCGTCCTTCCAGACACTGCTCCCACACCATCTCCCCTTGAGCCAGCGCTGGCCTCTCCCAGGCGGTGGCCGATTCCACGTGTGGGACAGCACTCACGTGCACTCGACACAGCAGTGTCTACACACGCACCTGCCCACACAAGACTGCAGCTTCTCCAGGGAAGGGCCCTGTAGGTATTCTGGCATGTAGCAGGGGCTCATTTAACAATTCTTCACTGAATAAGTTAAGAGGACTTGCAAACCGAGCTGATAACAGCAAGGAAAGCTCCCTGGTGGCATGGCCTTCTGGGGCAATTCAGTTTTCCAAGTGCTGTGCCAGGAGCCATCTCTGAGCAGCTGGCATAAGGTTTCTCCCTTTCTGATAGCCCAAGAAGGGCAAGGCACTATTTTTGGTCCACATCAAAGCGGGTTTGGGGGTTTTACCCAACCGCAGGCCATAGCCCTGGCTCATTCTCCAATTGCACTCAGAAAGGCCATGTGCTGGGGAAGGACATGCCAATAACAGTTGCCGTCTTCAGAGGAAGCTCCCAAGCAATAAACATTAAGGGAACCTGAAAACCTGGTCTGTAAAGCAAAAGGCCTGGCTAAAACTGCACGCCTACCCCCACCAAATCCAGCAAGGAGCCAAGGCTTTGAATAATACGGGCCAAAAGGCTGTGACCTCCAGAGAAAATGTCACAGCACATCCTCTTGGCATATGGAGTACACACAGCCAGCAGCTGTCTCTGTCCAAAGGGGAGAGGGGTCTAGAGTCACACACACACCCCTTCTTCCTTCCTTCTCTCCCCAGTTGAAAGGCATTCTAACCCACCTCCACGCTGACTGTCAGCCTCACCTATGGCCAGGAGTCAGAGCTGTGGCGGCTCAGAGCTGCTATCGCATTAGCACACGACGGTACAAATCCGAATAACACGCCCTCCTCCAGTGCGTGAACAGGGGTTAAATGAGAGCACGCGTGGATACGTGCAGGGTGTACATGCAGACACACACACATCTGGTAAACCCTAAAGCAAACACAGATATTAAGAACCACCTCAATTACCTAGATTTAAGTTATCACTGAAAGGTGACTTTTTTACCACCACCACGTGACTTAAGAAGTCCTTTCCTTGACGGCTGCCAGGTTGTCATTTGGCTCCTGCTCACCCATGTGGGAAAGGGGACACCACGTGCCCCGTCAATACCAGCAAGCAGAGACGCAGGCAGAGGTCGGCCCGCTCGCCACCGACCTCGCCACGTGCGCCACTGCAAAACCGAGGGCTTCTTGAGTGTTTCTCATTTACTCTGTCGCCACGCACTAAGCACCTACTCTGTGCCATCAAGAGCTAAGAACTGAGGAAAGGGACAGGGGAGACAGGTGAGGCCCCCCAGGGGCTGAGGCACATGTCGTGCCCACATGCCAAGCGTCGGGAGGGCAGGGGGCTGTGGGCACAAGCCAGCCGGGCAGTCAGGAGAGGATAGAAAGCCAGCTCAGCCAAGGAGGGAAGGCAAGGCCCACGCTGTTCCCTCTGCCTGGCCTGCGGTGGCCCCAGTGAGCAGGAACTCGGCCTGGCCGAGGCAGAACAAAAGCCCCCAGTGTGGTCAGACCTGGGTGTGGGGGTGGACAACGCCAGAGGGCAGAGGGTGTCCTGGAGGATGGTAGCTCCCACCTGTGCCCAAAGCCAGCCCTCTTTCCCCTTCTCTGCAAGATCACCCAGCCACTTGATACTGGCCAAGCAGGTGGTTCTAGGAAACAACTGTCCTCTCTTATTATTTCCTTAAGGGGGAAAAAAAACCCAAAATAACAAAAAACGTCCACTTTACTTATACTTCAACACACCACCCTCACACTGACGCCGGAACCCCAGGGCCGCTTTCTCCGAGCGTTCGGCAGCACCAGATCCTGACCGAGTGTCTGCTGCCCCCGAGGTGGCTGCCAGGAGCAAAGCAGAAGGGACGTGCTGGGAATTCTCCATAGAAAGAACCACGGGGCTTAAGCACAAACCCAACCTCACCTCTCTGTGTTACTGAAGAAAAGCGCCCGGTGTACGCACAGAGCATCTTCCCAGAGGAGCCAGAGTATACCAACGGCATCAACCACGCACAACACAGGGAACAGGAAGACGCGGAGAAACGAAACTTTATAGGCTAGAAACAAAATATGACAGGCTTTGGTTCGAGCATTCCCATCTTCTTCCTCCCCACTTGCTGAAATGTTTCCCTTTTCCTTGATGTTTATGTCAAATACAGTCAAACTCCAGCACGAATGCGCAGATTTCAGAACTCCTAACTGGTCGCACGTCATCACCCCAGGATTCCATAATATCTCAAGAGCCAACAGGTGGCGCTCAACAAACACAAAGAAGTGAGTCCAAATCCAAACCAAAACCTAAACCAACCCAGGGAGGTAGAAGGGACCACTCTCCCCCACATATTGCGCCCCAAAACTACGTCAACTCCAAGGAGGGAAAGAGAAGACATTTCCTATGCAGACATCTACAAGGACCCAAAATCTAGTTTTCCACAAAACACACTAGGAAAAGCTGCTCTAAAAAGTCCCACAAGGGAAGCCACCGCAGTGAAGGACAGCTCCTCGGCAGAGCACAGGCAGCCCCCGGAAAGCATCGAGGGCCGGACTCCAGCTCCCCAGCCCTGCCCAGCCGAACTCATCTTCCAGACGTTGCTGACTGGGATGCCGCTTATTCTAACTCAGAATCGGGCCATATTCCTTCTTTAAAGCACAACCAGAAACAAACTGTGAACACTTCTCTGAGATCATTGGTTTCCCCAATATTCACAAGTCTTCTTCCAGCCTCAGCCTCCCAAGCCATCTCCCCAATGGGTTCCTGGGGCCACCCGGGCCACCTAACCCTCTTCTTCCTACTCTGTGGCAAGGCCAAGGTCTAGGGCTGGCTCACCTCAGGGCTGTCAGCACAGTACCTGGCACACAGGAGGTGCTTTTAAATAAAGAGTAATTAAATGTATGCTAAACTTTTCCCTGAAGAACAATCTTCATACCACCCTGCCATGGCCACCCTTCCTAGAAGGCAGGTTCTTGACACGAAACAGGAAATTCTCAGTACAACAAAGGTCTCTCTCAAAACTTCTTGGATCAAACTAGCAAACTATGAATTCTTCAGAGGTCTGGCAAGAGACTGCTTTGGAATGGAAGGAAATTAAATTGCAAGCCTTGCAAAGACCAAGCTGGAATTAAGAAGAGAGCAGGGACCGGGGGAAGAGGGGTGGAGCAGGGATTCTGGGTTCTGTTGGTCCCAGGTAGTATTAGCTTCTGGCTCATGTTCAGACGGTTGTCTCCAAAAGAAAGCAAGCAGAGGGCCGGCGGGTGGCTCACGCCTGTAATGGGTCAGGAGTTCAAAACCAGCCTGAGCAAGAGTGAGACCCGGCTCTAAACTATAAATAGAAAGAAATTAATGGCCAACTAATATATATAGAAAAATTAGCCGGGCATGGTGGTGCATGCCTGTAGTCCCAGCTACTCGGGAGGCTGAGGCAGGAGGATTGCATGAGCCTAGGAGTTTGAGGTTGCTGTGAGCTAGGCTGACGCACACAGCACTCACTCTAGCCTGGGCAACAAAGCAACACTCTGTCTCAAAAACAAACAAACAAACAAAAAAAAAAAAAAAAAAAAGAAAGAAAGAAAGCAGGCAGAGGGCTCTGGTCTCAGAACACTGGTGGCGTCCATCCGGCCATACTTGCTTGATATGGGACAACACTTATTTGCCATTCCTGATGCTTCCTAGAGGGACATCCATCAGCAAAACATCCCTGGCCCGCCTCTTCCTCACTCTCCTGCAGACAGGTAGAATGGAGTATGTCGCCTGTGTAGGAGGCAGGGGTGGGTAGGCCCCTCCCCTCTCCTCCTCTGGGGAGCAAGCTGCCCACAGTCCTCCCACGCTGCTCCTGGGGAGAGGGGGTGGGGAGCAAAGTCAGTCTGGGCTTGACTTACAAGCTACATCCTTAGCTTGGTTAACAATAAAGGTAACATTTTGGCCACTATCTTCTGAATTTTTTTAAATTGTGGTAAAATACATATAACATAAAATTTACCTTTATTTCATGTCTTTCCCTGTTACCCAGGCTAGAGTACAGTAATGCAAGCATAGCTCACTATAACCTCAAACTCATGGGCTCAAGTGATTCTCCCACATCAGCCTCCCAAGTAGCTGAGACAACAAGGTGCACACCACCACACCCGGGTAATTTTTAAATTTTTTGCAGAGACAAGGTCTTGCTATGTTGCCCCGATGGTCTCGAACTCCTGGCCTCAAGTGATCTTCCCACCTTGGCTGCCCAAAGTGCTGGGATTACAAACGTGAGCCACTACGCCCGGCCCCATTTTAACATAGGCAATTTAATGCTCGTAAGTACATTCACAATGTTGTGCAGCCATCACCACTACCTAGCTCCACAACGTTTTTTATCACCCCAAAAGGAAACTCTGTACCCACTAGCAGTCACTCCCCATTACCTCCTTGCCTCAGACCCTGGCAACCACCAATCTGCT